TTGTTATTACTGTACAATAAGTTCAAGTTGTGCTGCTCCTTGTATCTTAGTTGTTATTACTTGTACAATAGAATAAGTTGTGCTGCCTAAGATACAAGGATTGTTATTACTTGTACAATAGAATAAGTTGTGCTGCCTAAGATACAAGGATGGTTATTACTTGTACAATAAAACTTTAGTATTAAACACAGGATGTTTAAAAGTTTCTCTGCCAAATCAGCTTAATTTTCTCTACCATCTGCTGATGTTTCTTCGTTGGGAACAGTTTTTAATAAAGATATTTAGTTCAAACCCCCGCTTGACTTATAAGTGCGTTTACTAATTTGTACTTTATACTGACCTTGTTTTCTTTTATCTACTGAATACTGTATTTACTATTCGTCCTTGTTTTATTGTATTTTTAACGAGTTCTGTCGTTGCTATCGGCCTTGTTTTGTGTTTTATTAAGTTATGTCTACTATCGTCCATGTTTTGTGTTGAATTGGCCTGCCTGTTGTCCATGTTTTTGTTTCTGTTCTGTGCACTATCGCCCCTTTTTTTGTTATTGTTGTGTTCAGTATTTATTGCTGTCCTTGTTTGTTATTCTTTTGAATCATGTATATAAGACCGCTTTCTTTTGTTACTCTTGTTGTTGATTGATGTATATACTGTCTTTCTGGGCCTGGCCTAGCGGTTATGGTGCCGGAAGGCCTAAGGTTCGAGCTTACGATATGTTGATGAACACGCTCCACACTTTCACCTGTGCGGATGGTATCTTGTGGCAAGTCACGCTGGATCGGAAAGTATCACAACTACATTTTGACATTGGCGTTCGTAGATGATGTTATGCCACGTGACAATTAATTGCTTTTGGGAAGGGTGTGGAACCAACACAAAATATTCATACAATGAGGTCGAATAATTTGCAAGACGATGATTTCCCTTTTATTTAATAACATTGAAAAACATAGACATGTGGATGATCAACGTGGAGGACCAGGACCATCCGAAAAGAGACCTACAATAAAGTCGTACGCCACTTGTGGTAAGTAAAGTACGGCTTCATATAACAGGTAAAAATCGACGAACACAAAGTTCAGTGATAAAAGCCGTCCACATAACCCAGGCAACAGTATCTAACATAATCAAGAAAGATGTAAGTTTAGAAACGAGGCCGACATGCGTATACCGGCGAGGGGGGGGGGGATATTTTGGAAATGTAATCTAAACCAATTAACTAGTATTCACTACTGTTACATGTCAGTGTACATAATTAACAGATCATATGACAATGTATTGTTATTCAAAATTCACACGAATGTAGTTTTTCTGGATTTTTTTTTAATTACAGGTAATATTATTAACCAGTGGAAACCTTTATTTCCGACCTACTTGTGATTACGTTTAGCTCTAATTGTTTTTTTATCTGTATTTGTCATGGATTTTTTTACATCAATTGGGGACACGGCCAGCCCTTCAACAGGATATGGGTCCGTCAAGAAATCTAATCATACGTCATACCTCAAGCAGCTGGAGAATGAAACAGGTATTAATACTATTTCATTCTAAGACACCGGTTGAGCTGTCGCAACTATGAATTTCTGTGCGATCAGACTGTTAAAACTGGCGTTGGATTATAGAAAGTAAACATGGGAATTGGTGTGCTTTGGACATTACAGCTTTACGGTGAAGCCTTTTACAATGGAAATTACTCTGCAGGGCTATTGTCAAGATTTACAGTTCTCAGATAGATCGTACAGAACCTCTGTATTACTGTATGTAAAGCCTAAACACATTACAACACACACAAACAGGGCATGCCGACAGGATTTAATGTATTTTTTATCTAGCGACCGATCGGTAATTCTTCATACAACGTTGTGGGGTTTAACGCTTTTACTGGAATAATTTCTATTCGAGTTCTGGATCTCACTAATTACCATAACTTTTAAGTAGAATGTGAAAAAGTTAATATGTCGACCACGCTATATCTGTTATATCTAGTGCCGGTGAGGCCTTTAGCATAATACTAGGGCTCATCAGGGTGTCTGGGATACGACAAACACAATGGCCGAGATGCTGTTTATATCACCCTTTACTTAAACAATAATTGTTCAAGCGTGTACTACATTAAATTGGTGAACTATAAATTTTATCTAAGTTATTACACATCAGAATTAGGCTTATCATTCTTATTGACATCCAATTATTTATTTTGACACCAGTTTGTTTATAATTAATATTATTTACGTATTTTACTTTAACTAACCTTACTTATAATGTAAAATACATATATCAAAAGATCCAAATATGAAGATATAGGCTTACGTTTGAACTGTTGTTAATCTATTCGTCATACCCTACGTAACCCTGACTTTTGATTTGTTTATTCTATTTAAGCTTATGTTCTGTATCAGTGTAAGTTTCGTAATTTTAGTTGTTGTTTTTAATATTTTTATCCAATCTACACGTTTATACACTATGTTTACCAGAATGCGGGATATCTCCCCAGCTTGGTCGAGTTTAAAATAGAATCTAGACTGGCTTGTTTTGTCACCGACACATGTTATTTCTGGATAGCACTGCTAGTTTTCTAGCTAAGTACATGTACATTTGTACAGCTGGATTTTATTCATCATTTTTTCCAAGTTAGTATTAGAGGTTTTATAAATTGATGCCACATCATTGTGATCAATACGAGACAGCAACGTCAGCCTAGCATGCCAGGAGAGACGATATAGTTGACGTCACAGATACTGCGTAAGAGAAATCTAGCTATCTCGGAGTTCGTTCGATAATCAAGTTTACAGACATTTTGGTAAATGCTTTTTTGGGTAGCTGGTAGATTGCATAAGACGTATTTGATTCTGATTCGAGTAAGGTCGTAATAAGTTACAATACCAAAAAAAAAGATTCCAAAGGGGATGGCGGTAGGTACTTTAATCATGTGTCCAAGGTTTACCAGCAAGCCAACTGCTGCAGATCTGCACCTCGCTGTAGCGCAGAGAAACACGGCTGGGGTGGAAAGTATTGTGGCATCCGGTGTTAACATAAATTCTTCCATCCGAGGAACTACCCCACTAGGCCTAGCCATCTACCGGCGTTACGATGATGTGGTCGAGATACTTGTTCAGGCTGGAGCTGACGTCAACCAGCGAAGTCAAGATCACTTGGAGAGAATCGAGCCGCCTTTGTGCAGTGCATGTCGCCTTGGTAATTTGGCTGTGGTGAAAATTTTACTTCAAACTCCTTCCATAGATGTAAACAAGCGTGACTTTTTTAACAAAACGCCTCTTTGGACAGCTGTTAAAGAAAAACGACCCGACTTAGTGAAGTTGTTGTTAGCCAACAAAGCTGACGTGAATGCGGGAGAAATTTGGAGTGAATGTCCTCTACATTTGGCAACAAAATACAGGGGACGTCGGGAAATTGCAGACATGCTTATACGAAGCGGGTGTAGAGTAAACGTTGCGGACTCCGACGATAGGACTCCTTTATTTTGGACAATTCAACACTCGGATCGGAGAATTTTCACATTATTAATTTATGGGGGTGCAAAAATAAAAAATCCAGATTGGTTGTCTCAGTCCAGCTTACCGCTGTCGTGGAAAAACGACAGAACATTTTGTGAATGGGTAGAAAAACTTCGAGTAACTCCACCAAGGTTAAGCTGGCTAAGTCGAAACTGTATCAGACGCTGGTTAGCTTTAAGATGGAAACAGTTGGACAATTCTACTATAGATCTACTACCTCTACCAAAAAGACTGAAAGATTTCGTTAGGCTTCTAGATGTTAAAGAGACTTGACGTTTTTAAGGATTCGATTTAATTTATCACCACAGAAAAGAAAGAAAAAGTAGTTGTATTCAAAAATAAAAATACATTTAAAGTTCTTTTTTGCGTTGCCCTTGGTTTTCACAGTGAAGATATCTATACAGGCTCATCTGAATTCGTAACAATATTGTGTGGAACTTTTTGAACTCGTGTCAAGATAATTTTTGATATAAATTTTAAAATGAAAGACGGTGAGTACTTCATTCTAATAAAACTGTATTTGAGGTTTTCAGGCCGTTGTTTTTATGTGATAGCACACGTTTACATTCCCAATACCATCTTGTTTTATAAAACAGTTAAATGTGACGAACGTATATTCCTTTGTGAGCCAATCAAAATTAAGGTCATTCATGACGTATTCATAGAATAATTATTTGTAAACATCAGATTAACAACTTCTAAGATATAGAAAAGCCAGTGCGTTTTGGTAATACTATGTTCCAACAATGGCTTTTTGTCATGTTGCTTAGCAACAAAAGTATAATTTAATATTATTGTTAGTCTATCTACTGAAAGTATAAAATATGTATAGACAACAAAACTGGAAAAAAATATTTCTTGATTTAGTCTCCGTTAATTAAACATGTCTTTTTTTTTATTAACAACGTTGTTGATATAACAGCAAATAGCTTAATTCAGAAACGATTTAAGTTTAAAATTGAATCGATATTTTTACTTTCATGCTATATTTTATGCACTTCGCTCCAGTCTAGGCTCGTTATACTAACACTCACTACACTTATAATGTCTCACGGACCCCTCCTCCCCAACACACGGCCCTCTTTCCACCCCCCCCCCCGTCATTAAAATCGTAATGAGCAGACAGTAATCGAACTATTCTATCTGGATAAATGAATTTTGGCTTTTATGACTCCTCCTATTTCAAGGGTGAAGTGACACATCTGACTTTTATATAGGTAAGATATAATGTACAACCTCTAAACTTATTTCAATGTCAACAACCTTAAAACAGTTTATATCTTAACTTCCAAGTTGAATTTTATACAATTTTCAAACAACAGAAAACTAGGTACTTTAACTGCTGTATTTATTCGAATTAACTTTTATTGATAACTTAGAGAATTGGGCAATATTTCTGTACGTTTTCAAGCTACGTCTTTCTATTTATAAGGTGTACATAAATAATTTAATCTGAAATTAAGTTCACAAGAGAACGAATGGCAGTTTATACGTGGTTGTATATTCCATACTTACAACATCTAATGAAATATATTTCTGTAGTAATAAAAGATAGATTAAATAGCAGTAATCGGTATAAATGCAATTGAAGTAACGTTTTATAAAATCATATTGTTAATTCTCTGGCGAAATGAAGCTGGAACTTCGCACATGCTAAACGGGAGTTGTAAAAAGTAACCAACTAGTCATTACTACCAAGGAACTTCTTTAATAGCTAAAACTACTTTTTTTTCCAACGATAAAAAAGTTATGTCGTAAATTACGAAAAACCACGTACTATTTCTATATTACCGTTATACTTGTGGAATGGAAATTACCCCCCCCCCCCGAAAAATACTATGATGTGGATTTATATATATTTCGTTTCAAATTAGTGTTTAGTGGTGAACTTATTTTGAATCAATAATGACCAACATTACTGAGAAGTTTTTAACACGTTATAGTTGATGTTTTTACCAAAACAGAAAACACCAGATGTGATTTAGATGTTTTAAAAGTCTGTGTAATGACAACACGTAAAAGAAAGAACCAATTTCCAACTCGAAAAATATTAGTTAGCAAAAAAAAAACTACCATTAAATAGTAATTAATTTTTTTTACTTTTTGAAAATAAGCAACATATTAATTGGATAGGAAATACTCTAAAATACTATTTTTTACGTCTTGAAAGAAAACAGCATATTAAATTTCTGAATTACATGCAATATGATTTGCACTTGATAATTTTTTCCTTAATATTCCTTCAATGCAAACATGTTTTGAGCATTTCCTGACATATCTTAAAGTCACTTTTATTTACATCTGTGTTTTTTTTTAATTTTGTGCAAATCTACACGAGGGCTATCTGCACTAGCCAACCCTAATTTAGCAGTGTAAGGCAGCTAGTCATCACCACCCACCGCCAACTCTTATCAACGAATAGTGGGATTGACCGTCACATTATAACGCCCCCACGGCTGAAAGGGCGAGCATGTTTGGTGTGACGGGGACTCGAACCCGCAACCCTGAGATTGAGAGTCGAGAGCCCTAACCACCTGGCCACGTCGGGCCTTATTTGGATCTGTTCTGAGCATATTTTGTATTCTTCTTATCCCGAACTTTAAAACTGATTTAATCTAGCAAACATCTGATTACATAAAAAAACCTTTATTTCCCAGTACATAAATGGAATACCACGAGGTTTGACGCTACATTATCGTTGAAACATATCCCAACTTTAGTAGGCCGGTTGTTCTTGCCTGGCAGCACCCACAGCCTTCTGTGATGCCATCAGGTAGTCTGTAAACTCCTGATATGGTGACTTAGTCAAGACGTTATCCTTCCACAAGTCAGGTGTTAGATAACTGTACGTCTGCTGGATGGCTAGGTATGTAGCTTTGGCTGAAGAAACGAATGTGGTTCTTGTATTATGCTGGACTTTTGTTAAAATTAAGTATTTCAAGATAAAATAATTTTCAAAATTATCTACAAATATACAACATACAAGAAAATTACATTCTTGGTAGTTACAAAAAAAAAAACACTTGAATCTACAGAATATTTATTTTACAAACTCGAACTTTCCGTATGTCGGGATAAACAGAATTTTTGGATAACAATATTCAAGAAATGAAAATAAAAACTGTTTTGTGCTATGTGTATGATTACAAACTCCATGTAGCAAGAATAAATTTTAAAATCCCTATCTGTTACTGTAAAAACGAAATCACCATCAAACTTAAACATAAGTAATGACTACTAATATCCATGTACTATAAAAACGAAATTCTACTCGTTTTGAGTATTTCTTCAAGTTTTAAACAAGATATTTACCAAAGTTTCCAAGGGTGGCAGTGGACCCACGAGCTGATGTGTAGCAATCTTCAATGCCTGCCATGGTCAGTAGTTTTTTGGGTACAGGGGCAGATACAATTCCAGTACCCCGAGGAGCAGGGATTAGACGTACCAGAACACTTCCACACTTTCCTGTTACCTATCAAGTTCATGTGAGAAATAACATTCCATCGATTGTAAGAAAGGTTTTGTAAAATCTATTGTTAAGATCACTTCACATGCGAGACAAGCATTACAACAACAGATAGCATAATGTAAAATTTGGAAAGAGCTTTTATTATAGGAAAATCGAAACAATCCACCCTGTTAAAAACTATAGGTAGGCCTACAGAACCACATATAGCAGACATGTGGTCCAGAAAATAATGTACAGGCCTTTAAAAAATATTTAAATGCTGATCTATAATCTTGATAACACAGTATATGCATTACTTTTTTAGGGCTATCAGTTGAATGAAATATAAGGGTGTTGTCTGTTTTTTTGGTTTTGTAATACAAAAGATCTACACAAACATACATTGTAGTTAAGCAAAACAGGTGTGACTTTTTCAATTCTAGAATATAGCATTTCAGTTATAGATATATTTAAAAACCTACATATTCTAGATATTTAGTTCCAACTTTTGGAGGATAAATGAAATATATTACAGCAACAGACTTTGTTTATAAACTTTAAAAAGTCTGTAAACTATATTCTTACATACACAACGTTTACATGCGAGATACAAACAAGCATCAAAAACTGGTACACAAACGCAGTTTAAATGCCAAACTTTCACGAGTCAGCCAACAGAGATACATACTTACCTTACATGGTACAGTATGGGGTTTACCAATTTTGTTCCCCCAATAACCTCGGCGAACAGGAATGACAGAGAGCTTCGCCAAAATGATGGCTCCCCGAATTGCTGTGGCCACCTCTTTTGAACACTTTACACCAAGCCCAACATGGCCATTATAGTCACCAATGGCCACAAAAGCCTACAAATTATAGAAAATTTTTAATCTTAGTCTAGTTTGTTGGTAAAATGTTTAATAACTACTCTTTAACAGCAAGTAACATTATCACTAGCCTATCATACTTAGCCAGATGTAATTCTTAATAGTTTATCTGTAGCAAATATACAGAAATGACCAAAAACTTCAACTGAACTAAAAAGGACAAATACAATCATGATCTGTGAAATACATAATCTAAATTCACACAAAACCAAGTAAACACTTTTATAAATCCAACCTTAACAGAATTTCAGTGATAAACTAAAGTTTCTTCGAAGCCACAAATTAAATAACATATTTTAGGTTTTCTCTCTACGAAGTACCTTGAATCTTGTACGTTGTCCTGCTCGGGTCTGCTTCTGAACTGGCATTATCTTCAAGACCTCATCTTTCAGGGCAGAGCCCAAGAAGAAATCAATTATTTCACACTCCTAATAGAGAAATAAAAGTGATTTTAACATAAACTGTAATAGTTTCTCATCTTCATCTTTACAAGTTAATAACATCCATCAAATTATTGTACGGACAATCAGTAAAAGTGTAGAGAAAAAGTTGGAAGCATTTGAAATGTGGAAATATCAAAAATTTGGAAGAATATTATGGACACCATACAGCAAAGGAAAACAGCACACTTTGGATATATAAAAAGGCACAAGAAGATAAAGAAATGTATGCCAGAAGGAAAACTAGATGGAAAAAAGAGTAAAAGGATAAAAAATGGAATGGGAGGTTAATTTCAAACAATGGATCTCAGAATGCACAAGAAAGGCTCAAAACAGACTGTGTTGGTGGTCCACTGTAGTCAACCTCTGTAACAAAGATGGCTCAAAATTAATGAATGGAAACCACCTTCAAAGTTTTTAAACCAAAGCATTAGCGAACCAGATCCGTGAAGACTTCTAGAACATTTATTTTTCATTTTTACATAGCTAAGAGACCACTTTAAACTATTATCAAAGTTAAAAATTTATTTAGAAAAGTAACAAAGAGAAGACATTTACAAACAGAAATAGATGTGCAGAATTTGCAGAAGTTTGTTGTTAGCTCTTCAATGGTGTTTTAAACAGCTGTTAGCGTCATTGCCAAGAAAAGCCAATAACCTTTAAGTTGATTAAGACCTTACTTTGCTAGATGATATTAGCCTAGTGTAACTCCCATGCTACATATTTTGCTATTCTTTAAAGAAACAAAACAAAAAAAACACCTTATATCCAAATTAACTGCTTATCAACATTCATCACTATAAATCTTTAATTCTAACTCAACATGATGGGTTAGATGACAAACACCTTAGGTTTATATTTAATAACTTTATAAAAACAAACTCAGTTTGAGAATTAACAATTTCTTAATATAAGATCAACTTAAGTTCTAAACTCAATTTTCTTCCAAACATTTACCTGTACTCCTGATTTTTTCTTTAAATCGTTTTAGTGATAAAACAAACTTTAGAAACATTAGAAATTTCATTTATTTATCAATAAAAAAAAACTTGCATTCTCTAGATACACATCATACCATTTAAAAACATTATATCACGATAAACATTATATCACGCTTACTTTAATGGGCAAAGAAAACAAGTATATTTCCTCAAGTGACTTTATTTTGCCATCTTTAACTAATCTTCCCAGCTTGGTGACGGGTATCCATTCCTTGTCTCCTTCCTTCCCACGTCCGCGTCCCCTCCCCCGACCACGGCCACGTGCTCGCCCCCGACCCCTACCACGACCACCAGCTCCAAAACCACCACGAAATCCTCCCCTACCAGCGGCTGGAGCACTGTCCGCCATTCTAAACAGGAAATATCAAGTTTGAACTATAAATATAACATTAATATATTAAAAAAATTTATTTTCTTCTATTTTTGAATAGAAAATAGTGAGAAAATTTATCTCAAGTTACAATCTCTTACAACATTCAAAATGTTAATAACAAAAGTGCAAAAGAATAATACTTTTTTTTTTAATAAGTCCTTTATTTCATAGTGCAATGTTCATTAAATGAAATCAGTCAGAAATTTTAAACGAAGCCTATATATATGTGTATGCTTCAGTTTCCAGAACTACAAATAATATCAAACACGTCAACAACAAGTCCCAAAACTGCAGCAAAAGTCAATAAATCTGACAATCTTACTGAAGTATTTCAAAATCCATTTTCCTAAAATTATTTTTAAATATTTAATATACTAAATTCCCCTATATTCAGCAACAATCTCAAGTAAAATCACATTGTCTGACTAGCATTTTAAAATCCAGACACAACTAAATCTTCAGCTAATTGGGATTAAGAATGAAATAGTCACTGTAATAGGTTACAACTTTCAGGGTCTTGAGTTTAATGAACTCGTACAGCTAAAGCATTTTCTGCATAACTTATACGTGACTGGATAGTCAGTCTAAAACTCTAGAATCAGTATAGTCAACCATAGGTCAGTGTCTCTGGATTTATAACTTTTGACTTTCTTTCTTGCTGCCTTAGAAGTAGTACATGTTGGCCAGTCTTATTAATGGCCTGTCAATGTCAAGTCTTGTAATGACTAACGGCACAAAGTGTGCGTTATTTTATAAGAAATAAGGGTTAAATTGTTGATGATGGAATTCCATTAATCATGTGTAACATCCTCTTAAATTAACAAATAATGGTTATGGTAAAGAAGAAGACCCAAACTATATATATTTATTTTTAATTGTAAGGTTTAAATGTCAATTTTTGACTTATATGAATAAAGTAACTATAAAAGATAAAATAAATGACACTACATGTTTAAAACTAAGTAATTTATTCATACGGATTATACACATTACGGATAGCATGCATTATATTTTTTTATTTGAAATTCTGCTATTATAAACTGAAAAATTCAAAATACATCTCTGCTATTCAATTAAAATTTTGAATATTTTTCTTCCCATATTTTGTACTGCCTATCTAAGTTACCTACACAGATAAAAAATTAACTGGAGAGTTGGAGCCTTCACCATAACCAAAATAAATACTATTTTTTTAGGCTGCTTTTACTTTAGCCTAAGAAAGCGTTGCATAATCTTACAATCTGCCACATAAATATAATATTTTTTTCTTAAAAATCACTCAGTTATGAATAATTTATTGATTATCAATTTTAATTTTATAATGCATAATTTGAAACAATTGGCCATCTTTTTGTTTTGTCGCATAAAAGTTAAAACTCGGGGTTCTAATGTGGGAATAATCATACTTAGTTACTTAGCCTATGTTAATTGTTAAGAAATCTTTTAATCAGGCTTATTTATCGAATCTTATTTTTAATTTTAGCAAGTCACTAGGTTTAGTAGTTACTAATGTTAGGCCTACCGCTAAAAGTAAAACACGTGAACCTTGAATTTGAATAAAATATAAAACTACACTTAAGAGTACTTAAGCCACTGACTCTTCAATAACAACTATATGCACGCTGTAAGGTTTATAACAAAATATAACTATACGACTTTTCTCCTATAATCATTTACTTAAGTTCACCAAAATAACTCACACGAATGCTCCTATTCTAATGCTGTACTTAAAAATGAGGCCCTACGATTCGAAATCTCGTGCAACGTGCTCCTCACAATAGAATGGAATACAAGTATTTTAGATAATACGCGTGCGCGAAATTCATGCCTAGACCTATTTATGTTCTTTCACCCCCTACTTTTCATCACATTTTCTCTTCTGCAAATTTAAATTTTCACGTCATTAAAAAGCTTAAATAGTTTATTCTTAGTTAATAATGGCTGGAGACGGCTTGAATGGATAATGAAGAAAAACTTTAATATAAGTTTGACATAACAGCAAATGTACAACGTTTCGACAAGGTTTTGTCATCATCAGGTCATTATTAGTCTCAAAGTGGGTTCCTCGTCACCGAATTTTTATTCTTAGTTACTTATTATATATTTTGACCAAGACAAAATAACAAAAAATTCTATTACTATTCATAAAATAAAATTTCACAAATGCGTTAGATCAAATCATATTAATGATAGTTTTTGTGATAACTACAGGTCTCTCGATGGGTCAGCGGTAAGTTCACAGACTTACAACACTAAAATCCAAGGTTCGATTGTCGTAACCTCGGTGTAGTATTGCTTTAAAATAAGGACTACAAAATTTAAACACAAATATTATCATTGGACACCGATGGAACAGCAAAATTCGGCGAAAAGAAATTTAGTATCAGTTAATATGATTAATATTTCAGTTTTTTTATGTTCTCACAATATTCGTTTTCTTTATCTTCTTTGATTGGTTAATCTTTTTAAGGTATTGTAAATCTTTTTTTACACTTACAACATCCTGCTTCACACACATTTTGAGTTGTTTCGTCTATCCAAGAACAAAATGTTTCGTTATGTTACGTCTCCGTTTGTTAATTAATTTTCCGTAACTTCGTTCCGACGAAACTTAAGCGACACAAGTCCTTTCTTAATAAAACTGATTTATTCTTTCCGAATATAACTTTACCGATACACTCAACTTCAACAATCGCGTTAAAACAAACGCTAATCAACGAACGTCAACAATACTTCCGACTGCAGTTCAATTACTCATTATCTACACACAC